CAGGAAAGCAACACCACAGACTTATACTTAAACCCATTGGATCCTGTTTCTTGTCTGCGCTCTCCGTGATTCTCAAATATCCCTTGAATGAAATCCACGAAAAATTCGTGCACATAAGGCGGCCAAAAGTAATAAACAGCTCTCAGTTGTTGATCATGTTAGTAGCTTCTTTGTGTATCATCATTCATTTTCGCTGACAAATGATAACTCAAATAAAGTCGAATAACAAATTTGATGACGACGTTTAATGTGTGATTGCATCGGTTTTTCATTCAGTTCCAGGCGAATCATCAAATACTCAAGACAACTTTTAACAAACCAACGCAACACCTAGATCGTTTGAGTCGGCAGATTAACATCAACACAATGCAAAACAGTTGTTGTTTTTCGCTTGTCAAATAATTTGTTTATTCGACAAATGAGCCGTGTTTCATCTGATTTTCGAGCAACTGTAGTCGGTGTGCTTAACGATAATTTAAAGAATTGTTTACAACTTGAGCAATTTGTCGATTTCGTTTATTCGAAACGTGAGTAGAAAACGTATCTCGATGATTTATGATGATGTGATATTGATGACGGTGTTGAAGACAATTTGTCAGTGTAGACCAGCTGTTTCGCTGATAGTTGATAATAAGATCAGTTGATAGGGAAATTTGAGATGGCCGACGTGGATTGCATTTCCGCTGAACAATTATAAGATTTGTTGTTTTGATTTTGCAACATTTCTTAGTGATTATTTCTATTTCACCGTGTCTGCGAGCGAAGACACAGAAATATTCTATTACACAGAAGATGAATAGCAAAACATGTTGTGTTATTAGTTGTGAATGTAAAACTTTAAAAAATTTGTTAACTGCATCAAAGGAAATGTTTGAAACAGAAAACTTTTCAGAAGATTGTCGGTGGCTGCCTGGGCAGTTTGTGAACATCTACCTGATTGTGCGAGTGAGCGCATACTGCTATAGGGCAATACAGATTACAACCGCACTACTCTAGAGACACAAGATTAATTGTAAACCATACAAAAAGTTCGGTTTCGATTGAAGGGAATAAGAACTGCAGACGTCTGTACAGCAATCATCCAAACGAACAAGTTGCCGTTCATGGAATCGAAAATTTCTTATTAATCGTCTTCAAGAGAACTCTTTGCTCCTTAACTGTTCAGTTCTTAACAGCATCCATCCATTTAGAGTAGCTTAACGTGAACTTAAACGGGCACGCAATTTCAATGATACTGAGAACAGAAGAAAATTTTTTAAATGTTAATAGATCTCTTTGAAAGTTGATTTGTTGAATCCGCCAGCAAATTGCTCAGTGTCGATCGTTGCTAAATGCGAAGTAGAGCAAATTCAATGGGACTCTTCTTAGATACCTTCTTCTTGAGTAAGAATTTTTATGGAATGCATTTAAATTAAGAATTCGGAATTCTTGATGCAAAATGATTTCATTCTGATGATTGATGAACTTTGAGTTGCCACTTTATTCTCATTTGATCGGAATTGCGATAAAAGACGTTCTGCGCTTGCAAATTAATCCTTACTATTACTAGCAGTTTCGCATCCGTAATGCTTTCTTGAATAGAACAAACCACTTCGATGAACTCATTTAAAGCGATTCATAGAAACCCTTCGCAAAATATCTTCTTTCGCTGTAGATTTCATTGAGAAAATCAAAATTATCAAAAAATTGCGATTTCTATGAAGCATCTAATTTGGTTGTTCTCTGAATGTTGAATTGAATAAAAGGCCGAAATTGATGAGCGAGTGAAATTATCTCAGTTCCTCGAATACCAATTACTAACAGCAATCTGGGAAGTCACTAATGGATTCTCATCAACCGATGCGTTCCTATGCTGCTCACTTCTTGGCTGACGTCTTAGCACTGGTCAACTATAGCAAGTTCTTCAATATTTTAGCACTCTTGCGCTTTTGCAACGATGATGTGAAACAATTTTTGATCAGCAAAAGACTGATCCTTAATCATGAATGTTCCACAGTCCCTAGGGATTTATTGTTAGGACATGTGAAGAGAATTGGATCTGCTAGTGTGTATTGTCCGTAATCCGTATTCTCTCGGATAGTAGTCGTTTCGAGTGATCAGAACTCTTCTTATGTTGCTAGTTGCAACTTTGTAACAATGCGTAGCAGTTTTTAAGTGTGCAAATTCATATGTTCTATGGTTCGTCGAATGCAAATAAGCGTTCAAGAAGGATTTTGCAAAGCGTATAATTGTATTGAGCCGTGTCGTGAACGAACGAGCGAACGAACGGCGAGCCGTCGATGATGAATGGTGTACCCTTCGTTATTAGAGCTTATCTACTAACCTTAGCTGAATTCTATGTGTCCCTAAGCTAGAAAGCCTTTTTCTGTGTGCTGATTGAATTGACTGTTCAACACCTAAACACACTCGTCTTGTTGTCGTTGTAGTGAATCAGCAGTAGTTAATGACACGTATCGCCAGATTATAACTTTGTTCCATATCACATTTACATTTGACAACATCTCGTAATGCCTCAACATAAATCATTTAATCAGCAGACGACTTAGCCAATACATGTTATTGCTTAGGCCACATATGATTTATAGCTAGAGCGACATTGTCGTCATTGTTCGTCATGAAGACGAATCTGAAACAGATAAAGAAGATGAGCACGATCAAAGCTTGTGAAATCCGAGTGAGGTGATGAGAAGTCGGTGAGAAATTGAATGCAGTCATGAGATGTTCAAGTGTGCACGGACGATTCGACGAAATTTGATATTTTGCGGAAGAACTAGTATGCAGTGGAGCATATAGTGAAAGTTTAGCAGCGTGCCTGAACGACCGACCGCAAGATCCCGCTAGATAGATTTGCACACGAGTGCGCAAAGGCGAGTAGATCACAATGAAGATGTTGTGCATAATGTCGCATATATAAGACATGAATAGCTCAAATCTTCACGTTAGTTCGT